GTACATCTAGCCTCCTCTTAAAGACCCCCAGGGTAGGAGCCAGCACCACTTCTCTTGGAAGTAGGTTCCAGATCCTAGCCGCCCTGACCGTGAAGTAGCACCTCCTGATATCTAGCCTAAATCTACCCCCTGCCAGCTTGTGACCATTATTCCTTGTCACTCCTGGTAGTGCTCGGGGGAACAGGGACTTCCCCAGTGCCTCCTGATCCCCCCTGACTAGTTTGTAACAGGCCACTAGATCCCCCCATAGCTTTCTCTTGTGGAGGCTGAACAGGTTCAGGTCCCTTGGCCTCTCCTCATAGGGCCTGCCCTGCTGCCCCCTGATCATGCGAGTGGCCCTCCTCTGGACCCTCTCCATGTTGTCCACATCCCTCTTGAAATGCGGCGCCCAGAACTGGACGCAGTACTCCAGCTGCGGCCTGACCAGTGCCACATAGAGGGGGAGTATCACCTCTTTGGACCTGTTTGAGATGCATCTGTGGATGCGTGAAAAGGTGCAGTTGGCCTTCCTGACTGCATCCCCATGCTGCCAGCCCATGTTCATCTTGGCATCAATGATGACTCTTAAGATCCTTTTCCGCCTCTGTACTGACAAGAATGGAGTTCCCCAACCTGTAGGTATGGTGCGAGTTGTTCTTCCCCAGGTGCATCACTTTGCACTTGGTTGACCTGAATCAGGCAAGTGAAAGAGAGAGATGTATGGAATGTCCTCAACCAGGGATAGACAGAAGAGGATTTCTTCACAATCCCAAAAAATTCTAGTCCTTGCCCCCCTACCCCATTTCCCCTCCTTTTTACAGAGATTTGGTGTGTTTCAGTTCCTTGTATTTTGTTGTTTTCTTCCCCTCCCACTTGCCCCATACAAACACAAAGTGGGGGGCAGGATATATCCCATCTCAAACTGAAATGTTCCTTTGCAGATGTCACATTCATATAGATCAGGGATGGGCAAAATAGCAGATCCGGCCAGTGGCTGGACTCAATTTCCCAGCAACTCCTGCCTGTATCGCTCCATCAGGTCTCCATGGAGGCCCCAGGAGTCATGACCATGCAGGGGCAGGTTCTCTGTGGAGATTGGTGCGCTGGCAGGGCACATGGCTGGGTGGGGAGCTGCTCCAGGGTTGGGTCAGAGGTCTTGTGCTGGTGACTGTGTGGGCTGGAGCCAGGGCAGAGCCGTGATCTACTGCCCCAGGGGTGTGCAGGTTGCAGCTCTGTCCCAGCTCCAGCCCATGCTGTCACTGCTGCAAGATCCCTGCCCCAGCCCCGGAGCAGCTCCCTAAACAGCTCTGCAAGTGCTGCTCCACCTGGTCTCCATAGAAAAGCTGGCTTCATGCTGTCATGGCCCTGCTGCTCCTGGGGTCTCCATGGAAACCTGGGAAATGCAGTCCACCCCAGGCCAGACTTTGCCTGCCCCTGATATAAATGCTTGTCTTTGGTATGGCTCTTCCCTGGCCTTGTAGTCTAACTCTCAAACATTCTGCACCCTTTCCTCCTACACTGAATGCCTTTGTAAGTACTTGGGTGGTTCATCTTGGGCATGGGTGGGCAAAATACGGCCCATGGCTGCCCCTGCAGTGCTCCATGTGGGGCTTAGTGCCACCTGCTCCTGTTAGGGCAGCCCATGCTGGCCATGGCCCCATCGAACACAGCTTCTGCCTGGGTTGTTCCCAGTGTGGCTGCAGCCAGCCGGATGCTCCTTTGCTCCCCTCACTTCCCCCAGGGAGGAGTGGGAGGAGGAGTGGCTGCTGGAGACAAGGGGAGCACAGCAGCACCTGGGCAGCTGCAGCCGCACCAGCAACAGCCCCATTGGAAGCTGCATGCTGGTTGGGACCTGAGTTAATGGAGCTGTTCCACTCCCCTTGCCTCCAGCTGCAGCTGCTGTTCCTGCTCTTGCCTCTGCTGTGCTGCCCTGGGCAGGCAGGGGGAAACTTCAGTTGAGTGGCTTCTGTCACTCATCACACCAGGTGGGTAGAAGGCAGCTGGGGGCTAGAGCCGGAGTTGTATGCCTAGGCAGGAGCCATCTGCCTGAAGCTTCGCTCCTGCCCACCCAGAGCTGCGTGGCTGGACCAGCAACTGCAGCTGTAGGTGAGGAGAGAAGAGCAGCCCCCGGGGCCCAGGCAGCATACAACTTCCTGTGGGTCTCTTCCCAGTGCAGGTGCAGCCAGCTGGGTGCTACTGTGCTCGCTTGCTTCCTGGTGACCATGCGAGCCTGGCCAGAAGCTACATTGGCCAGGGTTGGCAGACGTGGGTGGGAGCACAGCACAGGTTGCCCTGGAAGGGGCTTGCCCAACTGGGTGAGCTCTGCTGCATACTCCCTCCATCTTTTCCTCCCTCTCCTCACCAACGGATTGCTCCCAGGCACTGCCCCCCCATACACGCACATGCCCCTCCACACACCTCCATACACCTCCTGCCACACTTCCCCCAACAGAGTAGGGCATGCAGGGGGTGGCTTACATCTGTTCCGCTCCCAAACACTGCTTCCCACCCACCCAGAGCTCCATAGGTAGTTTTGATGAGTTGTTGCAGGGGGGAGGGATGCTGACCCAGCTCGCGACAGCTCATCAAAGCTCCCTATGTGGTCCTTGGGGCCCAAATAATTGCCCACCTCTGATCTAAGGACTCCTCCAGGCATATAGTCCCACAAAACCCTTGTCCCTACTTCATTATGTTCAGAAATGCTCAGTTTTTCTATTGCAACAATTTCCATCTGAAACCCAGTTTTGGCATCTTTTTCTGGTCTTCAAACAAAGGAGTTTCTGCTTCAATCTTGGGAGATCTGGGCTGTGACAATTTTTCTACCAGTCTCAGCTGGAAGAGGAATTCCACAGCACCTTTAAAAATGTGGGTAACAAAACAACTGGACAGGTTGGTCTCAACCTATACTTGGCTGTAATCTTATATCTGGCACAAAAAATCCAATTCAATGGTCCTTCAGTGGTAATGCCAGAGTGCTTCTGTAGCACTCTGCACATAGTATTCTATAGGGTGTTGTACTGTTAGATTTGTGCAGATGCGCTAGCCCTAAAGCTTATGTTCAGAGAGGCTTGGGGGATGAGAATCCTGCACGAGCTTTCTCAGTTATTGCCACCAGCCTGATTAAGAACTGCTGCACCTGCAAGAGTGGGTGACCTTAACAGGAAAAAATCTGTGAGCATCAGCAGTCACAGCTCAGACCAGGCCCTTTGCTTTCTTATTTTATCAGCCCAAGGAAAATACTAAATAAAGTTGAAGACTATACAAAGCATGTGATGAAATTACTGTGCTATGGCATGTGTAACGTGCCAGTCCTTTCCGGCACATCAAACTGATGTTCATTTTACTCTAAAAGGCTATAATTTAGTGAATCTAGCCTTTGAGACAGATGGCTGTAAATTCAAATGCCAGTTGTAAGCAAATCTAATCCTAAAAAAAAATCTGACATAAATAAAACTGATTTTCTTTCCCATCTACTTTTTTCTCCATCTTGAATTTGGTTGGATCCAAGCCATGGCATATGGAGTTGGCCTTAGTTAGGCCTCTTATGCCATCATAATTGGAACAGTTGGTCACCATGCCTTGTGGAACTGGAAAATAGTTCACAAATACCTGTAAGTCAGGACTCATCCATGCCTATCTCCAGAGGAGGTTTTCCTATTGCCCGAGGGAGCAGAGCTGATGGTGGGCATGTCTTGTCTTACAGGTTTCTCTGTGATAGCCAGAAGGAGCTGGATGAGCTGCTGGATTCCCTGCATGCCCAAGGGATAAGAGAGAGTCAGCTGAGGGAGCGGCTGCAGAAAAGGTCAGGCCACTCATCTCTTTGCAGGCTCTTTGTCCAAGGCAGGTACATTCTACACAAATTAAATCTTGCTGCCCTCACTGAAGCATTAAAGCAAGCCTGTATTCACGTATGCCCAAAAGAAAGGGGTAACAAGGGAGGTTGCTTTTCTTTGAGCCTGTTATTACAAATTCTTGACAGATTAGACTTTCACTGATCTGAGATGTCCTGTATCTCTTAAACTGATCCAGTGACAGCTGGAAATAATAGGGGTTTGCTCCTCTGTCTCCTAGAGGCAGGGTCACAGCTTCCTTTGAAAATGTCGTTACAAGTTCTTCATTGCTGTAGCTGATAAAAACCTGCATCTGCTTTGGAGCCGGGCTTACTTTGTTCTTCATACTCTATCCATAATGGGATACGGTTTACCTAGTGCCGTGGACATGTTCTAAAGTTCTCCTTGTTTTTCCAGATATCAGGATGTTGCACATTCTATCCATTTGGCTCGGAAACAGAACCTGGGCCTGAAGTCCTGTGATGGCAATCAGGAGCTGCTGAACTACCTCAGAAGTGATCTCATTGAGGTTGCCACACGGCTGCAGAAAGGAGGGCTGGGATATGTTGATGTGACGTCAGAGTTTGAAACCAAGGTGAGAGAAGAAAGGAATTATACTTTAAGCTCATGTTCTGAGTGTGAAAAATCTAGGACAGACAAAGACCAAATACCCAAAGCTCACCCTGTTCATGGGTTTCGGAACATCAGCATTTTCTCATGAACCAAAAAAGCACATGAGAGAGTTCACCTCAGCAGCAATTCTAGCTTCTCTGTCAGTATTAGCAGGTTTCATGATGAGGTGTCACTTCTTGAAGACCCAAAAAATTGAAAACTTCCAGTTCAGGATCAGTCTTCAGGGCTTGGGGCAGTGGTAGAGACCTGCTTCTGAAAACAATGACGACTCCTTAGCTATGTTGATGAGGAGACTAAAGACTTGTCTACACAGGGTAGTGTGCAGTGAGCTGGAGTGTGAATCTGCAGTGCATTCACTGATCACACTAACGTCCTACCAGTTAGTGCAAGTTAAGAGTACCTTTGCACAAGGGAGCTTATTTAACTTGGTGTAAAGGCCCCTGACAGATGCTAATGTAAAGGTGTGATGGGATCTGATGTGGGATTCCAACAATTGTGTTTCCTGCCATGCCACAAGTGCATGGTAGGAAACATAATTGTGGGATCCTCCATCAGATCCCATTGTGCCAAATTGCTGATGCAGGGAAGCCCTGCTGTGGCTGGGAGCACTTGCCACACGCTTAATTAAAGGTGTCCTAGGAATTAACCACAAAGTTTATTGCTCATTTTGTGTAATAACTTTGTGCTTATTCTTCATTTTATCATGCTATTAGTTGAATGAGCATCTGGCCAAGTCAGTAAAAATGTAATTAACCAGCTAATTGGATATTAAGTGTAACGTGTCAGAGGCCTGTTTGGAAACTTAATGCAGAGTAACTAGTATACTGTAAATTTTTATGTGCTTGGTTGTGGAAGAAGAGCTCCTTGGTGTTGATTTATTTCTGGCTGCTGAAGTGACTGAACTGAGGAGCTGTTTAATGTTTACTGGATATCTAGTTATCATGGGGAAAAACATTAGAAATAAAAGGTTCTGTTTCTTTAGGCAGAAATGGTGCAGTGGCTGTCAGGTATCTATGTGTATAGTGGTATACAGTACCGCTATTGTGGAGGGTAAAGTCATATTTTACGTGGTTTTCTGCTGTCTCCTAACAGGTGTATTCATTGGAGAACTTGAAAGATTTTGGAGAGTGTGTGATTGCCCTCCAGGCCAGCGTCATTAAAAAGTTCCTACAAGGTTTCATGGCCCCCAAGCAGAAGAGAAGGAAACATCAAGGAGATGACTCTCTTGCCAAGGCTGAGGAGGTTGATGAAGAGAAGAAAATGGCAGAAGAAGCCAAGGTATTGGTCACTGTAGAGTCCCTTACTGTGTTTTAAATAACTCTTCCTTCCATGGGAGAAATGCACCATATATTTCCCTAAGTCCAGCATTACTTTTCTCACTTTCTCTGTGCAGGTAATTGAGTGCCATGGGGCTGAGTAATTTGCCCCAACTACAGTACAAAGTGACAGTTTTGTTGAGATTAAGTTATGCTAGAGTACCTAAAGCTCTATTCCTCTCTCTTTTTTGTCCCTCCTTAAAACCGTTACACTAGCCAGTGTTTTATTTCTTGGGTCCTGTTGTAGTGCACAAGGAGTCCTGGACTCCCAACTTTGGTCAGATGCGCAGATAAGAGCTTGTTTGGGAGTATTTTTAGAAAGTGTAATGGAAATGCTGTATCGCTTGAAAAAGACTAGTGAAGCAAGTGAGAGAGTTTCTTAATACCTTCACCAACGGAAAAAGCTGGGATGCTGAAGTTTCTTGGGCAGCAGGGGAATGTGATGCTGATCAGGATAATATGCTACCTGCAGAGGAACAAAAATGAGGAGAAAACCAGAATGTGTAGGGAGACCCAGAGGATACTGAATTGAAGGTTTCATGCAAGTTGAACTGCATCTGCCTACAATAGGGAAGCTACATGGCAGGAGTGAAGATGTGAGCTTGAGATGCAGGCGCCCAGGCAGGCCAACTCCCTTTCAGAAAGGGTTACTGTATGGTGAGGACACTGCAACCACTTGATCAAGAAGCTGTACTGTTGCTTTAGCTGAAATGGACCATCCAGGTACATACGTGACAGAATTGCGGAACTTGGCTTAGCAGGAAACTCGGTGAGATGAAACAAAACAATGAAGCTTACAAGTAGAAACTTGGACAAACAACTAGGGAGGACTATAAGAATATTACTCAGTAGGTGAAGCTTTGGTCACTGATTCAATTCGGACGAGATTCGGCTCAATTCAGAGGCTGAATCTCTGAATCCAAATCTAATCAGGAGAGCCACTAGTCTCTCTGAATTGAATTGGAAGCCTCCAATTTGATTCGGAGAGATTTGACAATTCAGCTATAGACACAGTTTTATGTTTGGGGTTTTTTTTTATGTACCTTGAGGTATCAGGCGGTTCCTGAATGCTGAGATGCTGGGGCAGATGGAGCATCCCATGGGAGTGCAGGGGGGGTCCCCTGTGCACTTGGTGGCAGACCCGCAAGTGGACCAGAAGTACTTCCAGTCCACTTCCAGGAGTGTGTGGGGGACCCCCCCGCTCCTGTCCCCTGCCTCAGCGACTGGTGTCTCCTGGGTCTAGGGGGGCACCTGGGGTCCCCCTGTGGCTGATCACTGAGCTGGGGGAATGTGGGGTAGTCCTCTGCATGCTCAATGGTGGACCAGAAGTAGTTCCGGTCCACTTCCAGGTCCTCCACCAAGCATGCAGGGGACCCCCCCTGCACTCCCATGGGACGCTCCATCCACCCCACCATCTTGACATTCATGAGCTGTATCGGGTACCTCAAGGTATGCAGAAAAAACATATAAAGCTCTGTCTATGGCCAAATCATTGATTCCCCCCCCCCCCCC